ACTCTCACTGTCCCACATTAAGCACACCAAGTATACATCAACTCATCAGCTCTTTATCTCAATTTAACTTGTCACCATCTTGATCAATTTTTCTTCACACTGATCCATTATACTGAGGCTATTATGTTGATTCAATCTGATAAGCAATAAGAAACAGCTATAGTAGACTTTTTATTATATGTATATTTTTTATTTTTAAATTTAAACTTAAATTAGAAACAAGGTTGCTTCACAAGTCAATTCCAGGTCCCTCTCCGTTTCTCTCCCCTCCTCCTGTGCCCTCCCACCAACCCCCCCAATATCCTCTCATTTCCCCAGGGAGGATGAAGCCATCCATGGGGGTGTCCATAGTCTGTCATTTCATCCAGGGCAGGGCCTAGACCCTCCCCCAAGAGTTCAGGATGAGAGTGTATCTCTCATTGTTGGATGGGAGTCCAAAATCCATTTGTATACCCAGGATAAATATTGATCTACTACCCAAGGCTCAATAGATTACCTAGGCCTCCTCAGTGACACCCACATTCAGCGGGTCTTGATCAGTCTTATTCTGGATTCCCAGGCATCAGCCTGGGATTCAAGAGCTAACCCTTGTCAGGTCAGCTGTTTCTGGGGGTTAAACCAGCCCAGTCTTAATCCCTTTGGTCATCAGTCCTCCCTCTCTGTCACTGGATTTCTTGAGTTCAGCTCAGTGCTTAGCCATAGGAGTCTGTCTCTGCTTATAGTAGACTTTATTAAAATGATATTTCCCAGCCAGAGTATGAAAAACCTCACTACTACTCAGGGACTTTGTACCCATGAAATTTCTAGAAAGTCCAGTGACTTGGGACATGATCAGATAGTCTTTCTCCGATGAAGAATATGTTGTAATAATTCTTTCCTATAGCAAAGAAAGAGGCATAATGTTTAATGACCCTCTTTGTGTTTGAGAAACACCACATTGTTGATTTGAATGTGTTACTCTATCTCATTTACCACGTTACTCAAATACATGCTGAATTTGAGAGGTTATTGAAAATGAGAAGACTGTGGAATAGCATAGGGCTGCTCTGGAAGCTGTTTTTTCAAATGGGCCATGATAATCCAGTAGGTTCAATGGTACTTGAGATGAAGGAGGAAGATTTAAAATTATTTTAAGTTGTGGTCATTTAAATGATTGAGAAATTGTGACACATATATTATGAAAAGAGAAGGAAATAGAAATTTCCTTACAAAGACCCAGGTGCTATATTTAACAGAAAAAGTTTTCATGGTCAACTTTTGTTATAAGATTACATATTCTTCCTAAACTTTCAATTGTGAAAGTATTAATTTTCTATACTTCAACATATTGACTTATATGGGTTCCATTGTGTAATGGTTAGCACTCTGGACTCTGAAAATATTGACTTATATAGAAATTATTTGATTTCAGATGAAATTAGATACATTAACTTGAATTCACAAAGGTAAGAAGATGTCCAAAAAGGTAAGAAGAGAAGGAAAGATGCAGTGAAAAAATAAGCCAAGACAACCACAGCTTTAGCCCTGTTGGTCCCCAGAATGAGAAAAATCTTCCTTCAGAAGATGATAGGCTAGGGGATATATGATGGTTAGTGTTAATTTTCAGCTTGAAAAAACTAGAACTACCTAGGAGATTGTCCTCTAGGCATACATATGCAAGATTTTCTTGCTTACATTAATGGATGTGGGAAGATCTACCCACTATGAGACAGAACCATTTCCTCAGCAGGAGATCTTGGTATATAATAGTGGAGAAGCTGAGCTAAGTATTTTCATGCATTTACTCATTCCTCACTTTTGACTATGGACATAATGCAATCAGCTGCTTCAAAGCTCCTGCCACTGTGACTTCCATAACATAATGGACTGTATCCTGAACTGTAAGCTAAAGCAAACCCTCAAGTTGCTTCTCTCAGAGTATTTATTACAACAAAAAGAAAAATTAAGATAGAGTCCTAGTGAAAACACTTGCACTACTACCCAAAAGACAACATACAACTATCAAAACCCACAAATTCAGTTGCAAGTTCTGATGTCACAGTGATTCTGCCAGCAGATGGGCCAGCATTATTAGTAATTATACTAGAACAATAGTCACAAACTGAAAGATGTGTAGGAAAACCTGGATGTAAATTTGCATACATTTTGAGACAAGACAACAAGAGTGTAGTGTCTCTTGACTCATAAGGATGGTGTTGGACAATGTGTTAAACTACAGGGTCAGAAAGACCAATCAAAAATGGATCTTTAGCCAAACAACTAAAAAAATTTGATTTTAAAAGTGACTAGCAAGATCACTAAAAGATACTGTAACTTCACCCTTCAGAGGTGACTTACATATCAGTTAATACAGCATTAAATATTAATCAAAGCAGCTAAGATATAGAGAAACCCTGGATGATCATTAGCAAACAAACAGAAAAATGTGGTATACCTAGGCACACTCACAACACTTTAATTTAGCAGTAAAATGAATGTATTTGTGGTATTTGTATGGGAATGGAGGTAACTGGAGATCAGTATGTTAAGTGAAATATGCCAACTTTAAAAAGACAAATATGACTCAGACAAATATCATTTTACTACTCATATGCAGAATCTAGACTTAAACATATATATGTATACTTAACAGTAGAATGTGTATTCTGTTGGATAAGTAAGGAGTCTAATAGTGGGGGAGCAGGTAACAAGGCTAAGAGAAACAAGAAAAGACAGACAAACATTGTCCATTCTCTCTTATATATGAAATCTAGGTTTAAATATGTGTATATCCCAGCGTGGTGATACATAGCTATGACCCCAAAATTTCAGAGGTGGAGGCAGGGGAATCAGAAGTTCAAGGTCATCCTCAGCTGTATATCAAGTTCTAGAACAGTCTGTGCTACATGATATCCTGTCTCTCAATATATATATATATATATATATATATGTGTGTGTGTGTGTATGTATGTGTATATGTATGTGTATGTGTATATGTATATGTATATGTAGGAGGAGCATGGGGGGAGGAAGACAGACAGAGGTAAGTAGGTAGAGGACAAGGAGGGGTGAATATGAGCAAAATACACACACTTTGTGTGTGTGTTACAATTACAGTATATATAAATGTATGAAATTTATATATAAGGTAAAATTATATATACAGAAGTATCATTTTCAAATTTTGTGTTAGCTAAAAAGTAATTAAACAATGAATATAGGTATAGAACAAATAAAATATGTGGCATATACCAATACAAGATATAGGACAAATAATAATGATCGTAAAATTGCTTAATGGTTTTAAAGGTTGATCCAAGTTTATTTCTACTGAGCTAATTTTTCTCTGTAAGTAAGAAAATTTGCAATGATTATGGTTTCAGTGAGAGTTTCTGGTCTATAGCATTTTCTGTGAGTTTAATCATGTTATGTGTCTTCATGAACATGGTAGAAATTTTCACAGAATGCCAATGTAAATAGAGGTAAATACTTGATAGAAGGAAAACTAATATATAGCATACTATATATTGGACAGTAGTATATACTATCTAATAGCCACAAAATAGTTCTTCATAAGTATTTAATAATATATGCCCAAAATAAATGTGAATTCCTATAAATGGTTGTTTTTAAGTGATTTTGGAGCTTTGAATAAATGCCAGACAAAGCCATTTGTAAACTAGATATTATTCTGAAGAGGGCAAAATATGAATCAATGAATGCAAAAATTACAAAGGAAATGAGCTTAAAAGTTTGAACAACCCAGATGAATAGGAAAACAAAATTAAAATTGGTATCTTTCTGTTGGTACTTTACTAAAGGAAAGTTTTTTGAGACATGGTCACACAATATAGACTAGGCTTGCCTTGCTCTCATGGAATTATGCCTGTATCAGACTCCAAGGGCTGGAATTATAAGCATGAGCCACCATATCCAGCTGAAAGAAAAAACGTACAGCCAAAAGTAATAGTGTAATCATTAGAGAAATCATTACACACTTCTTTAGTGCCAGTTCAGAAATTCCATTTCTGTATTAATGCTTCGAGATACAAATTTGAAAGTAAAGGAACAGCCATAACACTGTTAGAACTATTTGTAGCTTTTCTTCTAGTTTGTATAAATAGAATTGACATGAGCTGGAAGTCTCTGGTATATTAGTTACATAGATAACCTTGTTTTAGATTAATTAGCACAGCTGATGTCTGAAAAGGTTTCCCGTGCTCACGTTCCTTATATCCCGATCTCCACTTTCCTTAAAAATAAAAAATAGTTAAGAATAGTTCAAGAAAAAAGAAGCCTTAAATTTGAAAGAGAGCAATTTGGGGTATATGGGAAGGGTGAAGAGAAAAGGAGGATGGAAAAACTCATGTAAATTAATCTCAAAAATAAAAAATATTAAAATAAACAAATAGGTGAATAAGGTTGTACATACTTTTAATTCCAGAACTGTGAGGCAGAGGCTCCTGGACTTCAATGAGTTTAAGACCATCCTGTTATACATAGAAAGTTCAAGGCTAGACAAGCTACATAGTAAGAACCTTCTCAAAAACAAAATTAAAATGTACAATCACCCCTAACCTGATGGAGTAACTTACATTTTATAATTCCACTGCTCAGGAGGCTGAGCCTGGAGGCTTCCTATGACTTCACAACCAGCCTGGGCTACAGTGACAGATCCCATCCAAAAGAAAATAGATTGTGCAATCTGGAATCTGCTGCTTCCTTTGAGAATTTGCATTGAGAATTTACTATGTTCTATTCACTTTGCTAAGCATCTTCATCACTCTCCATATGCAGTTCTTACAATTATTCTGTTAGATACCAACAAATATCTTCACTTAACACATAAGAAATACTCAAATTCCAAGAAGAGAAAAATTTAGAACTGAAAACTGTCGGGACAGGTGAAGTGTGTGCTAGGAAAGTTAGAAATAAAATCATATCGAATTCTCTTCTGTAATTAATATTTTAATGTTTATCAAACAATTAAGTTGATTTTTTCCTTTTTTTCTAATTCACAGGGTCTCCCTCTGTTGCCTATAGGGAGGGATATCTCTCCCAAGGCTCAAGGGAACCTCCTGTCTTGGCTTCCTGAAATAATGGGACTTGAGGTATGCATCACTACGCACAGCTGGTTTGCTCCTTTTGTTTGCCAATTACAATAAGTAAAAGAGGTGGCACACACACACTTTCCCATATCTAGAACATGTCTTTGTAATGTTTCCCTTGCATGATACTTTAGCTGTCTAAAAGCAATTTTAGTCTTTACTTAGGTTCCCTAAAAGATGAGATTCCTGACATTTTGTAAAAAGTAATGATGCTTCTCTGGAGGAGATTGCAGTCAAAAGTAGGAGGATCTGGTGGGATATCTAGAAATACTTTCCTAGCAAAAGGGAAGAAAAAGAGTCCTGTCAACAACCTCTCAAACACACACACACACACACACACACACAAACGCACACGCCCTGTTAGAATGAGATTTCTCTCAAATTTGCAATAATAACTTTAGCTGTGCTTTCAGGGGTTATATCTTTATTACCCCTACTGAAGTTTTTCTGTATTTATGAGAATTAATGACTCTCTCTACCATCGTAAACAAGAATGTCAAATACCAGATAATCTGTAATTTCTGAGGGAAAAACCGTATATTGTTTTTTTCCCAGAAGTTTATTATATATGATTATGCCATATGTGTTTATTTGTAGAGACTGCCTAACATCTGAACATACAAAACCAAACAGACAAACTCTTGTACCATTGCTACCCCAACATTTTAATCTAGAGGAATGCCACTGTACATGGATTCCAAGCAGGTTAAAAAGAAAAATAGCTGATTAGATGCGAGAACCCAGTGAACGGGATGACGGCCACAGCGGCAGTGGAGACACAGAAAATGGAGAAGAGTGCTTCCAAGGAAGAGAAGCAGCAGCCAAAGCAGGAGGACAGCACAGACCGAGGCAATGTTGACTCTGAAGAATGGATGAGCTCTGAGAGTGACCCTGAACAGATGAGCCTTAGGAGTGGTCACAACAGCTACCAACCTGTAGACACTCAGCTGAAGAAGAAAGAGATGCCCTCCAAGCCACATCGTCAGCTCTGTCGGTCACCCTGCCTGGACCGGCCAAGCTTCTCCCAGAGCAGCATTTTACAGGATGGGAAGCTAGACTTAGAGAAGGAATACCAAGTCAAGATGGACTTTGCTCTAAAGCTGGGTTATGCAGAAGAACAAATTCAATCAGTGCTTAATAAACTAGGCCCAGAATCACTTATTAATGATGTTTTGGCCGAGCTTGTCAGACTTGGAAACAAAGGTGACTCTGAAGGGCAAGTCAACTTGAGTCTGTTATTGCCACGAGGGGCTAGCTCCAGAGAGATTGCAAGCCCTGAATTGTCTCTTGAAGATGAAATAGACAATAGTGATAATTTAAGACCAGTTGTTATTGATGGAAGTAATGTGGCAATGAGGTAAGCCTGGTGTATTTTTTTCCTCTCCTTTTAAAATGGAAATTGTCTTCCATTGCAAAGCACTATAAGAAGTTCTTAGTTGTTGTTTGTGTCTTCTATTCTGATAGGTGGACATAGTGTAGAATTATCCTTCCTTTGCCTTTTCATTCTCCTTTGAAATTGCTGCCAATTTTCTTCAAGTACCTTTGACAAAACATTAGAGATTAGTGACACTGCAACAGAGAAAAAATATTTAGTGCCAATGTCCTGTCCTTTCTAGATTAATCATCCTCGGAACTGCTGTTTATATATTGCCAGTTGAAAGCTTACATAGGAATTTTCTGTAATTCCCCATCACTAGTACACAACACTGGGCTCCTTCTGCCTGCCTTCAAGGCAAATGTGTGATCTGGACTTTTTCCTCCCACTTGATTGCATCCTTTATCTTAGACTCTTAAATGATTCTCTTGTAAATTATGCTGGTTTCTATACCTACTACCTGTATTCATGCCATTTCCCAAACCAGAAATGATGCCCTTCTTATCTTCAAACCCTTAAAGATGCACCACCCCCACAAAGACTTCTGGGGTTTTTCTAAACTCAGTGATTATAGTAGGATAAATACTTTTGTGATAAAGATATCCACATGATAATATCTGAAGCCTGTATATCTGTTAAATAGTAAAATGGACATTATGTATTTATTTAACTTGAGTTTGAGATGGGGAAACATTACCTTGTACTATTAAGGTTTGCCAAGAGTAGTTGGAGGTAACAGGATCAGAATAAGTAGTAATACGTGCTACAGAAACAATAAATGAGAGTGTAAGAAAGGGACCATGACCACAGGAATGAGAATAGAATCTAAAAGCTGGAAGTCTAAGGAAACATCTGAAACCTGAAGAAAGAAAGCAGCCTTATCAAAACTTTGATTTTAGATAACTGATCTCTTCAATTATAAAATAATAATTACTATACATGTAGCAATTTGTTATAACAACGATGGGAAACTAATACACTGACTCCTGGTGAGACTGAACTAGTGTCATCACTTATGAGAGTAAGTGTGCTGGTTCCTCAAAAAACTAAAAATAGAAGGACACTATGGTCCAAGTGCACCGGTCCTGTATGTATGTATATATGTATGTATGTATTTATGTATGTATCTGAAGGATCTAAGAATGCCACAGAGATACTTGAGATACTTTCATATCCATGTCTACTGATGCACTATTCAGAAGAGCCAAGATGAGAAAAGAGTTTGGGCTTTTTGGTTGATTTTGTTGTTGTTATTTATTTGTTTGTTTTTTGAGACAGGGTTTATCAGTGTAACATCCCTGGTTGTTCTGGAACTCACTTTTATAGACCAGGCTGGCCTTGAACTCACAGAGATTCACTTGCCTCTGCCTGTCGAGTGCTGGGATTAAAGGTGTGTACCACCATACCCAGCTCAGAAAAGAATCTTATTTGAAGGAAAATTGAGTGAGCCAGAGATGATCATTTTAAGGACAATCACTCAAATTCAGAAAAAAGAAATGCTGACTTTTCTCTCCTTTTTCTAATATAGATATAGATATAAATGCATGACTATTATTTATGACACATAGTAGAGAAGGAGTGTAAATTGAGGAAAAGGGGAAAAAGAGTGTACTGAAATGAAAGCAAGACAGATTATCACATATTTTCTCTTATATGCAGAACTTAGTCTTAAATATATACAGACATATATACATAATGGTGGGGGGGTTGGGGGGGTGGTCACACCACAGCAAATGAGGAGGCTAATGGGAGGAAGAAAACCATTGAAAGGCAGGAAGAGGAGGGAGGATTTTGTTAGTTATGTTTCTCATTTATGTGTCAAAATAACTTAGAAGAGGAGCTTAAGAAAGGAAGACCTTCTTTTGACTTACAGTTTGATGGTACAGTCCTTCATGGTTACGAAGGTGTGATGGTAGAAGCATGAGGCAACTGGTCACATTGCATTCACAGTCAGGAAGCAGAGAAACATGCATGCAGCTGTTCAGCTACATTGCTCCTTTTGTTCAGTCAGGGACTGCAGTTTATCCAGGGTGGGGTCTTTCCTCATCAGTCACACCTTTCTGGAAACATCCTCACAGTCACAGGCAGAGGTGTATTCTCAAGGAAATTCCAACTCTAATCAAGTTGACAGTCCAGATTAGTCTTCACAGCTCCACCTCTTGTCAACTTTACAGCCAAATACATAACTTTAAACCATAGCATTCTCGCTCATGACACTTAAGTCTCAGTTTCAAATGCATTCAGTCCATCCCAACACTATTCTAAAGTAAAAATTCTTTTCTTTTTCTTTTCTTTTTAATTTAGAAACAATCTTATTTTACATATCAATCCAAGTTCCCCCCTCCCTGTTCTTGTCAGTTTAAATTCTTTTCTAAGACTCAAGAAAATCTCTTGAGCTCGGTGGTGGTAGCATACACCTTTAATCCCAGCACTTGGGAGGCAGAGGCAGGTTGATCCCTGAGTTCGAGGCCAGCCTGGTCTACAAAGTGTGTTCCAGGACAGCCAAGGCTACACATAGAATCCCTTTCTAAAAAAAAAGAAAAAGAAAAAAGAAAGAGAAGCTCCTAACCATGAAAATCTATAAAATTAGAAAATAAGTTACATCCTTCCAACATACAAGGCTACAGAATAAACATTCCCAATGCAAAAAGGAGAAATAAGATAATAACAAGGAAATATCAGATCACAGCAAAAGTAAAATCTAGCAGGGAAACAGCAAATCCTGCACCTTGGTGTCTTGTTTATTGGACTTATGATGGCATCATCTAGGCTCCAATGAGCTTGAGAATCCCTACCCCTCCAGACCTGTTACCTGTAACACATACAACTTCTCTTTAATGATGATTCCATTGGTACCCTCAGCTTTCCTCAGTAGGTGTCTTTATATTACCAGTACCACCAACATACTGGAGTTTCCATCGCAACATACCTTCCCCGTTTCATGCAGTAAACTTCTAGGGCTACCTTGCAAGCAGATTGACTGGTCTCATCACCTCTTAGGGACATTGGTACAAGACTTGATAACCCCTAATTCTTTCATTTCATATGTCTGTGAAAGCATCACTGTGAATATGATGCATCCCTGTTCAGCTGGGATATCTAGATGTAGTCTAACTCCCTAATATGGTGGCAGTATTAGCCTCTGGAGGTCTTTTTTTTGCTGAACCTGAAAAACATGACTGTAGGCAGCTATTTTTTGAGCAGAGAAACCCTTCAGCTGTATTTTCAGTTTAAGTTCTCTCCTTACAATGTTGTTACATTGTCACAATATGGAACCTTACACCAGGGAAGTTTTGCCCAAAAAGAACACTCCCCAGCAAGGGAGATCTTTACCATCCCTGATGGGAGAAGTCCTTCTGTGTATATGTTTGTCTGATTGGTTGATAAATAAAGCACTATTGGCCAATAGGGAAGCAAGATAAGTAGGACTAGGAGTCGAGAAGGTTGCTGGGAAATGTAGTCAAGAGTAGAGTGTTGCCATGAGTTCCCGGGAAGAGAGGGCACATGAAGCTGCATCCTCGGTATGATGAGACCTTATAAAAGGCTTAATAATTAAGTCAAAGCTAACCAATAAGAAACCATAGCAAATGGCCAACAGCTTCATAATTAATATAGCATCCTGTATGTTCATTTGGGACTGACGCAGCTCTGGGACCAGGCTGGAGGGAAGAATACATGGTACACAATCCCTAATGTCTTTAACTTACAGATACTTTGTCATCAACTTCCTTCTCCACAGTTTTAGACCTACTCTCATTTCCTCAACAAACTTTACATTTTTTCATGCCTTTATGGTGTACATTCCTCTTTAGAAAGATTTATTTGTGTATATATGTGTGCATGTATGTATGTGAATGCAGGTGCCCATGGAAGCCAGAAGAAGGCATTGGATCATCTGGAGCTTAGTTCTGTGCAATTGTAAGCCACCCAACTTTGGTGTTGGAAACTGAACTCCAGTCCTCTGCAAGAGCAGCAAGTACTCTTAACCTCTGAGCCATCTATACAGCCCCATCTCCTTGTTTCTTTATCTTACTGATGATGTCAATAAGTGCAGTGAGCAGCAGCTATGCTACAGGATAAATAATATTCTCTTTTGAAATTTCCTCCACCAACAATTTTAGTCATTACATTTTAACTCAGTTCATTACTTAGTGGATTGTAGCAGAATCAAGAGATGGTTCAGCCATTAAGGGTCATGGATGCTCTTCTGGATGACCCAAGTTCATATTCTTCTTTTTTCGTTTTATTTAACATTTTTCTTTCCTTTTCCATGCCCACATTCCTTATTTTACTTAATAGCTTATTCTCCATTGTCATTGCCACTTCATTTTCTAGTGTTGTTTGCATATCGGTGCTTGACTATATTTAAATTGTACCTTGCCTTATGATTTAGTTTGGTGATGCTGTTGGCACCGAGGTTAGGAGTTTTTTTCTCTCTCAGTGTTGTGGTTGAGACCTCAAACTAAGGTTGATCAGTATAATATTCCCAAAGTAAAACAAGAAAAGACCTACACCTCAACAAATGCACAAATCACAACTTTAAAACACCAGAAATATGAAAAACACAAGAAAGTGTGACTCCTCTGAAAAATCATACTGCCTAATGGTTAAATCCTAAGATATTGAAATAGTTGACTCCCACACAAAGAAGTCAAAAGTTCAGTTTGAAAAATATCCAGTGACCCTCAAGGACAGGTCATATGGATATATGAAGTATGAAAGCCATACAGGAAGTCCTCAATACAAAGGTTGCTTCAGAAAAATCTGAAACATGGATGAAATAATTGAAATACCGAAAGTATAAGTATTTGAAATGAAAAATTAAATAAACCAAATTCAAATACAGCAGAAAGCATTACTGATAGACTAGATAAAACAGAAGACAATTAGATAATGAAGACAAAGTAGGGACTATTACATTCAGACAGAAATAAAGAAAAAATAAGCTAATATAAAACTATATTTTTCAAGGATTTCAGGGT